TAATTTTCAAACTTAATTAAATACAGCAATTAAATTAATTGTAAATTTTAATATTAAATGGAGCCCCCTTTCAATGCAATGAATATATTGAATTAAATTTTCAAATGAAGCTGAAATAGCAACGATGTTATCTAACCAATCAAAACATGTCTTTTAAACAATAATGTTACCTAACCAATCAAGCCACAACCAACAGTCTCACCTACCTCGAGTTTTTGGTTCATGGTTGTTCATTATCATCAAATGATGGAATATTGGAACATGTGAAGCACCGGTGAATACACACAAGAAAAAGGTAATCAGTTCCACGTAGAAAAACCAAATAAACTATAATGAGTTGATATAAAAATTGGAACAAATTTGAGTCTCATTGTATATGGTTTTAGCTTCTATCAAGAGTATCTGAGCCCAAAAAATTCTAAAGACGTGTTTGAAAAATTGGGTAGCAAACAAGTGTGATACCAGATTCTATCAATTATGAGCAAATTATAGAAGATAATGAACTTTCCCTTTGTTTCCCTTGGCAATTTTTTCCTTCCTTTTTTCTTGACTAAATATTGGTTAGTCCAAACTGTCAAAGAAAATTCAGTTCCGAACTCGAAATCACTTCCGCATATAAGGTTATTATAATTATCCATCACATGATGATACCAATACGTGTGAATGCACACACACACACACACAAGGGCACTGATCAATTCCATGTAGGCAATCCAAAGGGATTAATATTGTCAGGTGCATGCAAGGTGAAGCTGTGTATTAGCAATCATGATATTGTGGAGTATAAAGATAGTAAATTTATGCGGGTAATGTTAAAAGTTAGGTCAATATCCAATCCACCCCTTCAAAATTTGTTGATTTAGAGAACAAATTAACCAGGCAATAACTCACTTAATAATTTATTTTCAAGTACATTGGAAGCTCACAGACACAGAGAAAACAACTTAGTTTGTGCGAGCCCACAAGCATTAGACTCATCACTTTTATAGAAACCAAAATTAAACTCACTTCCACACAATTTAGCTCACACATATGGACTGAACAATATTAAAAACAAACCATTTTGATGATCACCACCCCTTTTTAGTCATTGCAACAGTGACATTGATGAACTCAGTTCTCTCTTTAGACATTTTATCAGCCAGAATCTTCCTGTACCTGCAGAACACCTCGTCGATTATTGCTACGCCAAAGTGACTGATAAGCAAGGGTTCAGCCACAGCTCTCATGCATTGTGCAACATTGTATCCACCATCCTTGAAGGCGTTCGATGGACAAAATTCATTGTCGTTAGCATTCCAGTGAACTTTAGAAACCTCGAGGCGGTCAATCTCAAAAGATCCTTCTATTTCGACCTCTGATTTTATTTCTGTTGGGGATGGTGTGTATTGAGGGATGTTGAATGAATCTAGTTTCTTCTCTTCTACGAGGCCCTGCATTGATGTTAACATAAGTAAAAAGTGCATGACTTGATGCATCCCAAGTTGAAATAGTCTAGTTATCTTGATCTAACCATGTTTTTTTTAATGAAAGACAAAAACATCCTACCCTAAGTGTGAAATGTGTACATCCTTAGTCTCTTGGGTTGTGACAATGTTATGCTCACTAGATAGTTTTCATCATTAAAACCATTTTTGGATGAAAAAAAAATAGTTTTCGATCATTTCAGATGCCTTTCAGTTTTTTTGTACCTTTTGAACAGTGNAAATAGTTTGATATATCTAACACACAAAAAAAAAGACTACTAACACAAAAAAGAAAAAGAAAAAGAAAATCAGATCTAACACAAAAAAACAAAATAAAAATCAGATCTATACACACAAAAATTCTAACACACTAAAAATAATAACACACAAAAAAAAACCAGAAATAACATACATATCTAATACAACAATCTAGCTGCTGAGAAAGAGAGATCGAAAGACATCCAAAAACAGGAAAAAAAAAAAACNCGTTTAAATTCATTGGATCTTATCAAGTGTCAATAGGACCTATAAAAATACAATAGGGAGACATACTTTGTATAATAAATGGATAGGTAAACTCGACTAAAATTGATAAACTTCAAAATTGTGAGAATTTGAACCAATTTTTTATCAAAAAAAAGGAGGGAAAAATTGGAGTTTTTAGTGAAAGATTAGTATACCTCTAAAACCATTTCATTGAGAGCCGCAGCTAGAAGCTCCCAAATGTAACAACACTCTTTGCTAGAGGGATCTTCACTTTTCNAACTAATGACTTACTTTGGTGAGAGAGCTTTAGACGTAGAGACAGAGAAAGAGAGAGAGCATCTGGATGAGAGAGACAATCATTACAGTTGCTGGACCAGAGAGACAAAGAGAACCAGGGAGAACAAAGAGAACCAAACGATGAAGACTTATTTTGTTGCTAACAAGGATCGATGGTAGGATCTCATTAAATGGGTGGAGCACCCCTATGCCCGTTTCCCTTTTTTTCTTTTTTTTTTGGAAACAATTTTTTATTCGTTTCCAAAATCTGAGGCAGATTTCAAAACAATTTTATTTTAAAAAAAACTATTGATACCCATGCTATTCTATTGTTTATATATGATATTATACACATGTTGATTTTTTTAGATCATATTGATAAAATCTTGTCGATTTATTTTGAAAAATAATGGGTAGAAATTATTTTCAAATTATGTAATTCAAGAAAGGAAAGAATTAAGAAAAATTGTTATTTCATATAAAAATTGATGTTTTGAATGCTCAGATTTTATATTGCATTGTTCCTTTAAACACAAATTATGACTAGTGTATATATAGTTGTAACTATTATGCATAAGTTTTAAATTGTTTGCCACTTCATTTCTCGAAATAGGATTAATTTGACAATAAAACTAAATTTTGTCATAGGCAGGAGCATATTCAAACCGATTCCACCCGATCAAATCACGTTACTTGGATTTGGCTGACTTAAAAAATGAACTTAAATTTAATCAAATTTGATTCGTTTTGCAATTTAATCAAAACTTGAAAGAAGTTGAAACTGCACCAAATCCAAATCATTTGACACTCTACTTATTCCCTAGACAAAGGAGTGCTGATAATTCTATCTGACCTCCTATCATATGGCAGTTTAGTAATATTTAGCAGGAGATGAGTTGACAACTATGCCTAGTAATATATCATGAGCAATGTTATAGAAACTTAATTTTCAAACTTAATTAAATACANTATACCACGGTGTGGCTTTAAATCAAGGGCAGAACTACTTGAGGACCAAGGGGGCACGGGCCCACCCTGAATTTTTTTTTAAAAAATATTATTTATGTATATTTGAAATAATTTGAAGTATATTTAAGTGTTCCCATTCTATCATTTTTTGTTCTATCAATTAGTATAGTCTCCGTACCTAAATAATTATGAATTTTTTGACACATTTTGGACACTTTATGGATGCATCTATATAAGTTTTTGACATGTCGAACTCATTTTTTTTAAACTATAGAGATTCCAATTAAAAAAAAAAGTTATAGAGATTATGACAGTTAGGTTACTTAATTAAATGAGCGATCAATGACTAATAGTTTGGTCATATATATGGAGAAATATTTTTGCTTCATTAGTTATGAAGGGGTATAATTAGCCTCTCTTTTTTGTTTGTTTTTATTTATGTATGTTATATTTATCAAAGTTTCACCATTTTCGTATTTTATGAATTTTTAAGTATCGAATACAATATAGTAAATTTGAATATGTTATTTTATTTTTATTGATTAGAAGAAAAAAATTAAATTTTTTTAGTAAAGTGCTCACCCTGGACATAATTTTTGGCTCCGCCCTCACTTTAAATGATAACAATACGACCCAGTTAGTTAATAACTTTAAATTTTAGGTGTTTTTCTTGTATGTTTATTACCATTTTGAAATTTCATGTAGGGACCAATTTGTTATACTTAATTAATAAGAAGCACTGTAATAATCGCTTTCTAATTGCGGTGAGAAAACTCCAAACAAAGTAATTAAACCAAAAAGGAGGGAGAAAGGAAAATGGTACAACTATGTACCCAAACATTACTCCTCTATATCATAATAATTTTTTCACTAATGAAGATAAAGCAATTGTAAATCTTTTTTTATTTTATTATTTTTATGATCAACAGTGATAAATAAATTAAAACAAGATCTATAATTCAAACTTATTTTTTTAATACGGTACCTTAGAAAAGAATGAGCCACATTGTTTTATGTGGTATTAATTAAAAGATTTATTGGAGCTTTTTTTTTCCTTTTTTTGAACAATGAATCATTTTGGAACTTTCGCTTAGACTATCCGACGTAGGATAGCTCCAGCCCATCACCACTTAGGCCCGAAGTCTATCCAAACTACTTTTGGCCGGGCCTGAAAAGGATGCAATTGAGCCCATAACAGACGAATGGAGCAGAAAACTGATTGAGAAATGACAAAAGTGAAAATGAACTATTCCTTTTTCAAAAGTAAGTGACATAGTTGTCAAAAGGGACATTTAATAAATAATTATCGTTAAATTGGTAGGGAAATTTATTTCATGCTAAGATTTGCTATTAATCTACCGCCAATCAATGGACCATATCTATATTATCCTGCAAATATGAATTTCTGTATGGAAAAAATTAGATCTGTTAATCGTGGCGAATGAGACAGATTTATGTAGTATCTTAGCGAATTCGTGTCAAAAAACACTTCATTCATACCCGATTCGTTTATTTACTCATGTTCTATTCATTTATTACGAAAATGAGCGATTTAAGAAAAATTCAAATCCTCTAATTTGATGTTGAATCCGTATCGTGTTATATTTAGACACCCCCTAAAAAAAATAATTGTGTACTTTGCCTGGGGTATGTAGTAAACATAAATGTATTAATCCAACAACTATAATGAATTATATTAATAAATTATATCCTAATAAGACAAAATAAGTTTACTTTTTTCTGTTACCAATCTCAATTCCGCAGGTAATAACGGTTGTGTACTTTGTGTTAGATCTAGAATAATTTTTTTATTTTTAATTTTAATTTTTTTGGGATGGGATAGGATGGGAGGGGAAGGGGACTTGAACCTTTGACTTCAAGAAAGTAAAATTTTCTTAAGACAAAAAATATCATTGGACCAAGACCCGTTGGTTATTAGATCTGGAATAAGCACAGATACATTACATGGAATTGAATGGACATGCATACCTGAACTAATGAGTTGTTTGCATAACTTGCATCTCCAATTCCTCCATTCATGTGTAGAACTTCAATCACTTCCATCTCTCTCTCTCTCTCTCTCTCTCTCTCTCTCTCTCTCTCTCTCTCTCTCTCACACACCCTCTCTCTCTCTTACTTTGTTGGGGGGTGTTCAAGGGGGGTCTCCCTATTTATAGAGACACCCACATCTCTCACGAAGGGGGTGGTGATTATTTTAGTTTCTTTTAATAATCCCCTTTCAATTATTATGCTTTCAACATCATGAAGTCGTCTATAAGTAACATTTACCTTGGAAAGGGAAGGCCCACACCATTCCCATTATTCCACTAAGTTACGTATAATGTATGAAAAAATATTTTGGCAACACTCAGTATTCCTTTCAATCAGCACACAAGTGTCCAACTGAGCATTACTTAGTATTTTTTTTTTCAAGTTGAAGCTTGCATTACTTTAAAATATACTGTCTAGTGAAAATGTAATACTCAAACTTATAAAACGACTCACACACATCACCAAGCGACGTAAAATTTGATCATCACATGCTTGCTTCTCATGGGTATATTTAATATGGTACAATAATGAGTATATAGACAAATTAAATTACTTGGTGGAACATGTTTTTCGATTTCTGATTCTTATCAACATTATACTACATTTTTATTTGATGTAGCTTGTTACATGGGTCATTAGTGACGTTGTCAAGTATGCAATAATTTGTAAATCTTGGGACTTTGACAACCAAGGAATAGAACCCTCAATTGCTCTCATTTTAGGTATATGGTTTTAATTATCTACACTTTCAATATCTACGAAACACCTTGTCTATTCATCCTATTTTATCATATCCAAAATATAATATGGTTTAATAGAATGACTGCGTGTTTAGTCACAATGACACTTGGAAGAAATTTCACTTTAGTTTTGTTTATCATTGAATTTTTTGGATCCAAATTTATTGGATTTCGAGATTTGTTAAATTTGAATCCCATTCCTTGTAGGTTCGACTGACAATTAATTGAACCGAATTTGTGGTGTAAACAAAATGAATTGAGTTGAGCACTAGGTTATTCTGGTTTGGTTTGTTCTTTTACAACGAAAAAATAGAATCGGCTTTGAAGAGTGAGGAGTCTTAGACATATAGTTTAAGCTTGACTCAATTAATTTTTTCTCTCAAAACTCAGGTTCGAATCGATTCGACTTGGCTTACTTGATAAAACAAAGCTATATATCTTAATCTTTTACTCATAAACTCCAATTCAAATTTATGTTTATGATCAAGCTCCTCCTGTTTAGGTATATATGTGTGTGTATATTTATATAACGTCTTTACGACGAATTTAAACGAGTCGAACTAATTATTTCTTTGGTTTAACTTGCATATTAAACTAAAGAACTAACTGCAAATATCTTTCTTTGAGCATTAGAGCTTATTTTTCATATGCTATTACATGCATATTGTTGTCGTGGACGTAAACTAAAACTAGTACTCAATTATCCTTTTTTTCCTAATTTAACCATGCATTAATGTACTTCCATGCATATTGTGTGTTCTCTTTTTCATATCACATGATGCGACATAGTCCATAACGTAGTACAATGATATAATCCTCACAATGCGTTGGATCTTTTGTTTTTAATCAAAATTTAAACTCAAGACATCTCTCTTTACAACTCGCATATGTTAAATTTTGAAATTGGATTGTATTTAGCACAATAAAAGAAGGTGCATGAAACACGACGATTATTAACATGCTACGAGTGGAGGGTTGTTGGCCATATAAGAATACACTGACTTTGGAAAGAGGAGGGCCGACAACTTACGCTTCGTGTCGGTGACATCATTTTCTACGTACACTAATTCGTCACCATATTGAAATCATACAAACTTCATGCCATTGAGGTCATCTGATGATCTACGTAATTTTTACTATTATAGTGTTTGCTTTGAGCAGGGGAAGAGGGTGGGTGGGCCCCACCCACTGAGGTTTTGAAATTTTTTTGAGCTAGTTTAAAAATTATAAAATTATTAAAAAATTTTCATATTTGTTTTCACAGTTTTGTAGAGTTTAATTTTTTTTTCTTTGAACTAGAAATTGTCTTTTGATGTTAAACTACGTAATTTTATAAAATATTACTTGTAACAAGAAAAATAGTTGTGGCTAACACAATTTTTTTTTAGAATTTTTCTTCTTTAAACTATAAAATATTTTTTAATCTAAAACAACATTTTAATGTTTTTTGAAATATTATATACGACGAGAAAAGTAGCTGCCATAAATATATAAAAAAATTTGAATTTATAAAATATTATTTGAGATAGAAAAAACAGTTGTCTCAAATACAAATTTTTTTTTTGAGTTTATAACACTATTTACGATAGAAAAAATAACTGTCATAAATATTAACACAAACATACTTTTTGTGACGGTAAACACAGCTGCCACAAAATATTGTTTCAAATATGTCTTTTGTGACAGCAAACAAAACTACCATTAAAAATTTATCACAAAAGACCCTTATTCTAGTGTTAATTATTTCTCTTTTTTCTACAATAACACACTAAGTTACAAAACTCATCATTCTCTGAATTCGATTATCTAAATATCAATTGATATATTTAATTGATTATGTAAGTTCGAATATGATATTATATTTCAAGAATTTAGATTTGAATATATCAAAATTTGACCTAATTTACGATTCACAATAACATATGCACACATGTGTATATATAAGATTTAGTTTTTGATCAAAATTTTTAATATTTAATGGATATGGATATTAATATGAATTGTAAAGAAGAAACTTGGTAGGTAATCAGATCATATTTAAAATGGAGTTTTCAAATCGAACTTGAATTCGAATCACTCAAAATGGAATTTTCAAAGTTAAAACTGCACAAAGCCGGCTAGATAGTTTTACACTCAACGTATCCCTTATGCTTTGTTTGGTATGATGAAAAAGTAGAAGGATGAAAAGTTGGAAGGATGAAAAGTTGGGGGATAAATAAAATATCATGTTTGGTAAAGAAGGAAAGATAGAAAAGTGGATGGATTAACTTTCCTTCCAACTCACCAATATCAATCCCTCCAAAATCGAAAGGAAAGTGGATGAAAAATTAATTATTTGTATTGAGATATATCTTATTTGTCTATATATCTTTTTATATATACATATATTATGTATATATTAATTTTATATAAATATACAATGGTAAAATATGTATATATATATTAAAAAATAAAAAAAAATTTAATTAAATTTTTTTTTTTCCATCTTAACTAAGAGTGAAAATTTTCGACTTAACACGATGACACGACTCGAACTCGATATGAAAATAAACAGGTCAACTCGCAACTCAACACAACACAATTAGTTAAATGAGATAAGTTAGGTTTGACTAATATTCGACACAAACCCATAATAATTCAACACGAATCTGACACGACACTACTTGATTGTCACCTCTAATCTTAGCCAGCACATAAAAAAAATAGTCATTTTTATTTTTCATCTATTTACCCAAACACAAATGAAGGAAAGTGTATCCGTCCTACTTTCTATCCTTGAAGGATAAAAAATGTATCCGTTCTATTTTTCATCTTTCTTACTTTCTATCCTTTCTATCATTTAGCAGTATCCGGAGAAGCATTACAGCAAATTCAAAGTAGGGTGCATTGATGTTGTCCAAATTAGAATACATTAATGTCGGAAAAAAAGTAGAACTGCCCCCTAATTCTGCGAAATCATTCTTCACACACTAATTCGTCACCATAATGAATCATACAAACCTCATACCATTGAGGTCATCTGATCTATGTCATGTTTTACTATTATAATGTTTGGATTTTGTTACTTATCGGGAAAAAAAGTATGTTTGCGTATAGTTATTTGTTCATGGTGTGTATGTGTGTCTGTCCTATCCTTGGTCATTCGTAAGGCAACATCATACTCTGTTGTGTTCTTGGTCCATTTGATTTGATGAAAAATTGGAGGTAGATACAGGGAGACGAAAACAAAATGAAAACTTTGAGCCACACAAGTTCATGCAACTTCTTCATTATTGGGGTTCAAAAATGAATGATTAGTGCCGACATGTATGTATGGAAAACAGTTGTGTACTTTGCTTGGAGTTTGTAATAAGCACAAATGTATTAATTCAATGACTACAATAAATTAGATCCTAAAATCAAACAATTTTACTTTTTCTATCTTTGCAATTGTATAATTTGCTTGAGATTTGAAATCATGGACTAACTCCAAATATCTTTCTTTGAGCATTAGAGCTTCTTTTTTTTTTGTAAGTTATTACATACATATCGTTGCCATCCACGCAAACTAAAACTGCCTATTCAATTGTTCTTTGCCCTAAATTTAACCATGCATCAATGTACTTCCAGTGTGTGTTTGTGGGCGTGCTCTTTTTCACACCACATGATCAATGCTACAAGGTCCAGGTTGCAGTACAACGTTATAATCCTCAGTCAGATTGCCTTAGACTTTTTGTTTTTAAAATGAAAACAAAATTTGACATCAAAAGGTGAGCAAGACGGTGCTAAGGGGTCCATTTATGAGTGTTCATCATACAACTGTTTGAAAATTCAACTCTAATAAAGCTTATGTAACCTATGCCCAGAATGTCTGTGGTTTAAAACCCTCCATCACTGCTTTTGGCGGTTGCTAAAGTGTGGTCCACTTTATTTTGTTCTTTTCATCCTGTTTTGGTGCATGATGTTCACTAGTCAATGAGTCATGAATGTGATACATGCATATATAGTTCGTAACTATTATAGATGAGTTATAGACTGTTCTTTTCTTGAAATAGGATTAATTTGACGATAAAACTAACTTAGTCATAGGTAAGAGTATATTCGAGCTGATTCCACTTGATCAAATCACGTTACTTAGATTTGGCTTGCTAACGAAATGAAATTGGAAATTTAATCCAATTTGATTAGTTTTGTAACTTATGAACAAGTTGAAGCCCCATAAAAATTGGATCGTTTTACACTCTACGTATCCCTTACACAAAGGAGTGCTGATCAAATCACGAGGCTTCTTTTATTATAGGGATTAGGGAGAGTTAGATATATGTAATCTTATCCTTATAAGTAAAAAAAGATTATTTCTACACCTCTACCCCGAAATTGACAATTTTGCCTCAGTAATATGTCATTAGAAGTATTGGGAAAAGCATCAAAGCAAATTCAAAGGAGGGTGCGTGAAACACGACGAGGACAAGAGCAGATATGTTGTCCAAATTAGAATCCATTAATTTTGGAAAAAGTAGGACATACGTACACTTCATGCTTGCTAAATCACTTTTTACGCACCATATTTCGTCACTATAGTGAATCATACAAACCTCATGCCATGGGTGAAGGGGGGAGACTACGGTATCAAAAAAAATAATATTTGGTAATATATTGTGGGTTGAAATATAAGTCTTTAGGTTTGTTTACACTAATAAAAATTTGCCACTTTTAAGCTCACATTAACAATTTTTATTGTTCAAATTACAAATTTTGTGGGACATTTATACAAATTTTGTGGGACATTTACAAAGTTTGAGGTTACATGTAATCGATCATAAAAATTTTTAGGATCGATCACAAGTAACCTCAAAAGTTGTAAATGGTCATCAAAACTAAGAAATGACCCTAAAAAATTGTAAGTGACCCTTAAAAATTGTAAAAATAAACCACAAACCCTATAATAACGATATGGTACCATAACTTCTCCTTCGTGAGATCATTTGATCTATGTCATTTTTTATTATTATAATGTATTTTTTGGTGAGTAATTATTATAATGTTTGCATTTAGTTACTTACCCAAAAAAAATGTTTGTATTTAGTTACTTGCCCACCGTACCGTGTAAATATGCGTGTGTTTTATTTTAACTTTGCTCACACTATTGAGAACTTTTTGAAATGGAGTATTTTTGCAATTTTATGATAAACGTTGAACACTGATTGGTAATTGACCATTTGTGCTTTTGACAGTCTTCATATGTGTTATAATTCTCTAATATATACGCTGCATCAAGTCCTATAAACCATAAGGGAAAAAAATATTTACACTTGATGTTTTTAACAAAAATTGAGTAGATGGTTGGTTAGATGTCCTATCTTTGGTCATTCGTAAGGCAAAATCATAATCTTTTGTGTGGTTGGTCCATTTGATTTGATGAAAAATTGGAGATAGATACAGGGAGCAGAAAATAAAACTTTCCACCATTTGATTAAAGAGATGAATGGGGGAGTGAGGAAANTTAGCCGTTTTCTGAATCCTTGCAAACTCAAACTATTACAAAACCATATGTATTCAAACAAATTAAACTTACCCGGGAGTTCTTTTATCTCTTGCATCAACTTTCTAATCTGACTAGCATCATCCTCATTCTCAGAACATCTCTTGCCCATTAACATTCTCGATATCACATTGTTTGCCACCTTTATAAGCTCTCCTCCAACATCAACCGACTCACCAGCTGTGGCTTTTTTCGATAATAATTCGATAAAACGTTGAATCTCATCGCGTCTAACAGAATGGAGAAGATCAATTGTTCGGCCACCAAGAAGTTCTGATATGCATAGTTTCTTCATGAACTTCCAGTAAGGTCCACAAGGGCCAAAGGCAAAACTTTGTACGCCATAATTTATGTAGTCAATAGCAGCAACTGAGGGTCGGTTCAAAAAGGAAGATTCATTGGTTTTGAGGACCTCTTTGGCCATTTCAGGTGAGGAAGCCNACAGGGAGCAGAAAATAAAACTTTCCACCATTTGATTAAAGAGATGAATGGGGGAGTGAGGAAAATTGGAGAACGTGAAAGCCCATCAAATTATTGTGGAGTTTTTTTGGCCACACAAGTCCATGCAACTTCTTCATTATTGGGGTTCAGAAAATGAATGATTGGTGCCGACATAAATTGTATCACCAATTCCTCCATTCATGTCAAGAACTTCAATTACTTCCATCTCTCTCTCTCTCTCTCTCAATTCTCTGTTGGGAGTGCTCAAAGGGGGTGGGGGGGGTGTCCCTATTTATAGAGACACCCACATATCTCATGAAGGGGGGGTGATTATTTTTGTTTCTTTTAATAATCTCCTTTCAGTTATTATGCTTTCAACCTCATAAAGTCGCCTACAACTAACATTTACCTTAGGAAGGGAAGGCTCACACCATTCCCATTATTCCATTCTATACTTGTGTATAAAGTATCAAAAAAATGTTTGGCAACACAAATCAGGCACAAGTTGGGATTAGTTAGTATTTTTTGTTTGTTAAAGTTGACATCACTTTAAAACATATTATACTGTGAAAATTCAAAACTCAAATTTATAAAACTATTGACATGCGTCACCATCATGCTGCCATGTTTTATAAGTTTTGTGACCTGAGATACTTAGTATTTGAGTTTTTTTATTGAGCGAGTTAATGCAATGTTAGAGGAATATTTCAGACATTATGTCACNACGTGTCACCATCATACTGCCATGTTTTATAAGTTTTGTGACTTGAGATACTTAGTATTTGAGTTTTTTTATTGAGCGAGTTAATGCAATGTTAGAGGAATATTTCAGACATTATGTCACAACGAACCATAAGAATTGAGTGAATTTACTTAATGTTGCACAATTCAGTTACAATTTGCATTAAAGTTAGAATAACAATTTTTTTAGATCAATTCACAACTTTTAAAGTATTTTGGAATCGTTTTTATAATTGTTAAGATCGCTTCTGACAAATGACCCCAAAAATCTATCTCCAGCTATTGAAAAAATATAAATGATGTCAAAATNTGTACTTAATGTTGCCCAATTCAGCTACAATTTGCATTAAAGTTAGAATAACAATTTTTTTAGATCAATTCACAACTTTTAAAGTATTTTGGAATCGATTTTATAATTGTTAAGATCGCTTCTGACAAATGACCCCAAAAATCTATCTCCAGGTATTGAAAAAATATAAATGATGTCAAAATATTATTAAATTTAAAATAGCGATAGGGTTTTTTTTTGGTAAGTACCGTACTTTTCTACTTCAATAAAAGCAAAATTTGAGATGAAAACGTGCATGGCAGTGGGTAAGGGCTCCAGTTATGACTATGAGGTGTTCATTACACGGACAACTGTTTGAAATTCAACTAGTATAAAGCTTCTGTACCCGATGCCCATTAATGTGTGTGTGGTTTAAACCCTCCATGACCCCGCCTGGGGCTAGACTACGGTACGTTCCTTTGGATTTTGGGTATGGTACCTAAAATCTTTGACAGCTGAAAAAAAAAAAAAAAAGCACTGCAGAATAATGCAGAAATGGACACGTTAAAGTAAAAGAAAGACAATTGAATTGACCTGTTACTCACTTATAATTTACAACAGCAATAAATGAGTTATTTTTTTTGTTAGATAAATTTATGGTGGACATTAAATTTTTAATATTATACTAAAAAATCAAGAGAATGTACCGTAGTCTAGTCNAAAGCACTGCAGAATAATGCAGAAATGGACACGTTAAAGTAAAAATAGGACAATTGAATTGACCTGTTACTCACTTATAATTTACAACAGCAATAAATGAGTTATTTTTCTTGTTAGATAAATTTATGGTGGACATTAAATTTTTAATATTATACTAAAAAATCAAGAGAATGTACCGTAGTCTAGTCTCCCTGCCTAATTAGTACAACATAACAGCGTGTTATTTGGTCTTGTTCTCAGTACAACATAACAGCGTGTTATTTGGTCTTGTTCTCGTGCTTTGGTGCGTGATGTTAAGTGATCATTGAGTCCTTAATATGATAAAAGAATCGGATGTTCGTCACGTGTACACTTCAAATCTTATAAAAACCTATAATCGATTTCACCGGTTCCGGTATATACTTTAAAAAATTTAAAATGATAATTATTTNAGCGTGTTATTTGGTCTTGTTCTCGTGCTTTGGTGCGTGATGTTAAGTGATCATTGGGTCCTTAATATGATAAAAGAATCGGATGCTCGTCACGTGTACACTTCAAATCTTATAAAAACCTATAATCGATTTCACCGGTTCCGGTATATACTTTAAAAAATTTAAAATGATAATTATTTATTATATTTAAGCATGAAATAAAAATATAAGAAAAAATTTACAATTGGGGTTATTGAGTAAACATGAACATAAACATGTACCCTATACACTTTAAAAAATTTAAATATGAACCCTTATACACAATAAAAATAAGTGAACATGAACCCTTATACACTTTAAAAATAAGTGAACATGAACCCCTTTACATTTTAAAAAATTTAATCATGAACCCTATACACTTTAAAAATAAGTGATAATAGAAATTAAAATGATAATTATTTATTATATTTAAACATGAAATAAAAATATAAAATTTTTTTTACAATAGTTGGGGTTATTAAGTGAACATGAACATGAAATCCTATACACTTTAAAAATAAGTGATAATAGAAATTAAAATGATAATTATTTATTATATTTAAACATGAAATAAAAATATAAGAAAAAATTTACAATATTTGGGGTTATTGAGTGACATTAAATATATCATTTTAGATTAAGTTAAAAATATTAGGAGGTTAGATTAGATTATCTAAGTTCACCACTATTTTAAGTGATGATAGAAATTAAAATTAGTTTTAAAAAATGATAGTTATTTATCATATTTAAACATGAAATAAAAATATAAGGAAAATTTTACAATATTTGGGTAAAATTGCCATTTGTTGGGATTATATTTTGGGTTAAGTTAAAATTAGGGGTATAAGTGAAATTTATTGGACATATCTTGAATGATCGAGATTAGCCCGTAACAACTTGATCGAGATTAGTTCAGCGAAATTATTTTGTAACTTGATCGCTACCGATCGTTACATACGCGATCGAGATTTTTGTTAGCGATCAAGATAAGAGATTACTCCAAAGTCTCAAAGTTGATCACTCAAGACTCTTAAGTCTCTCTCAACTCCCCTGTCTTCTATTCCCCCAAACTCCTCAAAACCCTAAATCAAAACCCTAAATCAGCGATCAAACCCCAAATCTAACCCAAATGGGTGAAAAATCAACCTGATTGCATACCAAAACCCTAAATCACAACCATTTTTGGATCAACCACCTCCCAAATCAGTGAAAACCCAAACTGGTGAAAACCCAAAACACCAAATCGGTGAAAACCCAAAACCCACTCCCATCGCCTTCATCTTCTCCAAGGTTCTTTCTTCTCTCTCTCTCAATTTCATCATAGTTTTGTATACATAGTTGTCTCTCTCTGTCTCTCTCTCAATTTCATAATAATTTTGTACACATGGGTTGAGAATTATGTTTTTTGTGAATGATGGTTTATTGCTATTGCTCAAAAGTTGCTCAATTGTTAATTGTTATTGCTCAAAAGTAATAGATAATGTTCCATGTTATTGCAGATTTTTTTCTTGTTACAACAAAGTATAATGACCAAGAAGTATAGGCCAAAAGTTGATACCAATGAAAAAATGAAGAGGAAGGAGAGCTGTAATGAGGGAGGTCCCTCGAAGAAGAAGAAATGTAATCATCCTCTCTCCGTTGATCCGTCTTCAATAGTTAATCCCACCTCCACCAATCCAATTGATCCCTCATTCAATACATCAAGTTCACCCAACCCCAATCCCAATCCAGCAAGTTCATCCAACCCCAATCCAACAAGTTCATCCAATGAAGACATATCTTTCTTCAATGATGATTGCAAACATCGGTATGATAATTGCTTTTATAATAGACCTTTGTTATTGGAGAGGGGTGTTGTACTGGATGAATTAAAAGATGTAGGATTAGATGTTATTTTTGCTCTTCATCGATGGAATTCTTCAGTTCATATCAAGAAGATGGATAAAACATATAATACATTGGTGAAGATATTTTATTCTAACCTGCATGATATTGATAAAGTTAATCACAAGTTTAAGTCCCTTGTGAGGAAGGTGAGTTTTGAAGTAACCCCAGATTTAGTTTCAAAAGTATTGGGAGTTCACCGACCCTTCCTTCATGATGATACACTTTCTTATCCATTCAATAATTCTAAGCACATACCTAAGTTGGAAGATGTTTATACAGAAATCGAGGGTATACCTAATAATTTTAGTGAGAGTGTTACTGATCCATCATTTTTTCAGCAACACCTGACTCCTAAATATAGGATTTTAAACCTTATAGTGGGGTACAATATTCGTCCAATTGCACATAATGCTAATTTTGGACTTGATCAAGCTTATCTCCTGTATGTCATTGGAATGGGTATGAGTATAGATCTACCTTGTTTAATAATTGATGAAATTATTTTGGCACACGGTACGAATGTAGACGAAAATGTCTCTCATTTTCAATTTTAATTTCAAAGATTATGGAGGATTGTGGAGNTTTAAACCTTATAGTGGGGTACAATATTCGTCCAATTGCACATAATGCTGATTTTGAACTTGATCGAGCTTATCTCCTATATGCCATTGGAACGGGTATGAGTATAGATCTACCTTTGTTTAATAATTGATGAAATTATTTCGGCACACGGTACGAATGATAGTCGAAAATGTCTCTCATTTCTAATTTTGATTTCAAAGATTATGGAGGATTGTGGAGTTGTGATTCACTCAAGCGATGTTTATTCCCATGAATCCAATTAATGGTGGGACAATAAAAAAGAGTTTGGGACAAGTGAAGAATAAGAAAACTCAGCCATAGCAGAGTTTGGGGAAAGAGAAGAATAAGAAAACTCAGCCACAACAGCCACAAGTTGAAATCCAGAATGAAGTTGCACCTGAGGATAATATTGCAACCCAAGCTATCCCAAATTCTTCCACAAGTGGTCTTCCTTCATTGGATGAACGATTGTCTATATATGCATCTGTGATGATACGAATGGGAAGAATGATGGAGGAATTTGGAAATACTCAAAATGAAATAAAGGAGTCTCTCAAGGTGATTGATAGTAGGTTGGATAAAATTGATAGTAGGTTGGATAAAATAGATAGTAGGTGGGATAGAATTGAGTCTTTTTTTATAGAAAGCAAAGAAATAGCTAGGCAGTGAGAATTATATGTAATTGTAGTTGTTGGTTGTTGATACAATAGTTGAAGTAGCAGTAGTGAAATGTGATGAAACAAATATATGCATATGGATTTCCATCTCTCTCTCTCTCTCTCAGTTTTTGTGCATTATTCACTAAAGACATTTCTTATTATTCAGTGAAAGGTGGTGATAATATTATCTATTTTTCACTTTGTGATGATGAGGAAATATCCTACAATGTACAAGGAATTAATGTGATTGTGCCGTATTGTTTCCTTTGTTGTATATAATACCCGTGTTATTATTTTCAACCCTTTTGTTTTGGGGATTATGGTGGATTTGAGGAGTCTTGAGAGAGACAAAGAACGGTCCAGTCTTTTAAAGGATCATGTAAAGAATTCAATTTTAAACGCCGAGGTTGATCTTCTCATTACAGTTTATTTCTGGTGCTTGGTGTTGTCACCATTGTGTCTAGCAGTGAGACTGAAACAAGGAACAAATTGTCATTAATGTTCTTGTTTGGAATTATGTAATATTTTTTTTAGTCAGGACTGTTAAGGGCTTTATGGGTTGTGCTTGGCATTTGCTGAGTCTTTTGGAACAAATTCAGTCTTTGTTGAGCAGATTACAGTTTACTTTGGATCATGTTGATAGAGAAGCTGATTTTCCAGTTTACTGAATTTTCAAGCTGATTATACAGTTTCAGGCTGAGTATACAGTTTACTTTGGATCATGGATTATACAGTTTATTGAATTTTCTGTAAGTGGCCAGCTTCCAGTGCTGTCAGGCAGAGGCTGCAGGATCAAAGAGGTCTTCGTATTTTGCGCACTAAGACTTCTATGGTATTTGATGATAAAGGTTGAATAGGTGTTTGCTGGGGTGTTGTATGCAGTGAACTGGAGTTGGTATCCTGTTGCTGTTGAGCTATTGTTGTTGGGCTTAGTATCCTGGAGCTGTTGAGTTACTGAGCTAGTGTTGCTGATTACTGAGCTAGTCTTGGAGCTGTTGAGCTGCTTCTGCAAAGCCTCTGATGCTGCAAAGCTGTGGTGTGGGCTGATTCTGAGCTGTCAATATCCTACTGAATTTGGAGGGTGGAAGCTGAAGAGTTACTGCTTGGCGTATTTTCAGCTGGTTCAGGAAAATGTACCAGTTTTACCTGGTTTTTGTCTTAGAATTTGCAATAGAAAATCCGTTACAAAAACAGAAAATCTATTTTTTTGTAACAGTTTTTTCTGGTTTTGTTTTCTGTAAATAGTTATTTTTTTATTTTGGTAAAAACAGTGTCTGTAGTAATATGTTCCTCAAAAGTGAAAATCCTCCCTAAAAAATGATGATATTACCCAAAAAAGTGATAATCTTGCTTCAAATAATGGGTAATCTTATAGAAAAAGGTGGTATTCTTATCAAATACAAGTGATAATGTTACACACAAAAATGTTGTAATCTTAACCACCCCAAAAAGTGGTAATGTTAACNTTGCTTCAAATAATGGGTAATCTTATAGAAAAAGGTGGTATTCTTATCAAATACAAGTGATAATGTTATACACAAAAATATTGTAATCTTAACCACTCAAAAAAGTGGTAATGTTAACAAAAAAAGTGGTACTTTCAACAAAAAATCCATGGTAATGTTAATCAAAACAATAAACCAAAAAAGTGGTAGTGCTAACCTAATCAATGGTAATGTTAACCAAAATAGTGGTACTCTTAACCAAAAAAGTGGTACTCTTAACAAAAAAATAGTGGTACACTTAACCTAATAAATGGTAATGTTAAACAAAATAGCGGTAATGTAAATCAAAAAAGCTATAATCTTAACTTAAACAGTGATAATGTTAATCAAAAAAGTGATACTCTTAACCAAAAAAATGGTAATATTATCAATAAAAGTGGTACTCTTAACCAAAATAGTAGTAATGTTAACAAAAAAAATGGTACTTTTAACTAGTGGTAATGTTAACCAAAAAAGTGGTACTCTTAACTAAAAAAATGATAATATTAACAAAAAAAGTGGTACTTTTAACCAAAAAAGTGATAATGTTAAACAAGAAAATGGTACTCTTAACCAAAAAAGTGGTAATATTAACAAAAAAAAGTTGTACTCTTAACCAAAAAAATAGTAATATTAACAAAAAAAAATGGTACTCTTAATAAAAATGATAATGCTAACCAAAACAATGATAATCTTTCCCTCAAAAGTGGTAATCTTACCTCAAATAATTGATAATCTTACCAAATAAAAGTGATAATGTTACAACAATAAAGTTGTGGGAATGCACAATAAAACATATTTCGTTCGGTATTGGTGCATGAAAAATCATGGCTATGGCTTAGACTGTTATAATAACTCATAATAGTAGAAATTAACAAGCAATACTCACCAAAGCAACAAAAAAGCAAAGAGGGAAATATGTTTTAACAAGCAATACTCAACTCATAATATGCTTTCCTTGCCCTCTTCTTCGTCCAAAAAAGCGAAAAAAAAAAAACTTGAAATGGAAAATGTAAATTAAACCTTTTCATTCAAAGTTGCAAAAAAAATTAAAATTTCTTCAACCCATCTTGCTCCATGATCTTGGTGCCCATTGTGATAGCATAAATTGATGGTTAGATGACAATGGAGGAAAAACAAAATTTGTGGGATAAAATTTGTTATTTTTGTAATTACTTCCATTGAAACTAGTGTTGATGTACTGTGATTGAATGGTAGAATCAAAGCTTGACANAACTTGACATCCCATCCTAAAATAACAAGGAATGAGTACATATGAAAAAAAAATATAAACATCCAAAGAGTATTATATGAACCTATAGTTGAGGATACCCTCGTTGACAAAGGGAATGCAACGATCATCCTATTTCAATGATGGCATATATTGTTGCGATCCACCATGTTGTGAAAAAGACATGTGGGGTGGTTGGCCTGATCCACTATGTTGTGAAAAAGGAATGTCCTGTGGTGGTTGTGATCCAACTGGTTGTGAAAATGGCATATCCTCGAATGGATCATTGGATTGAGATGTCAAGAGTGGACATTTTCTAACAATATGGCCAGTGCCCCTGCATTTACTACATCTTCGCGGGTTGATTGAAATATTTTTTTGTGCACGATTATGATTATTTTTGGTTTTCACAATCNCAAATGGATCATTGGATTGAGATGTCAAGAGTGGACATTTTCTAATAGTATGGCCAGTGCCCCTGCATTTACTACATTTTCGCAGGTTGATTGAAATATTCTTTTGTGCACGATTATGATTATTTTTGGTTTTCACAATCTTTGGATCATTCACACCGAATTGTGTAGTCATCACATTTGCATTGTGTTTGCCAAGTGACTCATGACGGGCTTTTAGAAGAGAAGTTCTTTGTTGCACCATACTCAGGTCATTTGAGTCTGAGAGCAAATGTGAATCGTAATAACGCATTTGGCTGCACATAGACATAAGTTCAGCATAACGCGTAGGAATTGACACATTCGGCTGCACGTTACCACATTCATGTGCACATTTATACCTAGATTTTGCTTTAATGGTCCACCTGTCCATCACAATGGTATGAGGAAACTCTTGTATGTGCTCATACTTCATGATCGCGATCATGTGAGAGCATGGAATCCCAAAAGACTCAAATTTCATGCAATTGAATTTAAACGCATCAATTTGAGGATAATATCGCACAATCCACCGTTATTCTGGTTTTGTGAATCGAGAAAAATAGTAACTCCGATGACTTTCAATCTCGATCTTATCCACTACAAAAAATATAACTTCTTCTCGTATCTTATCACGGACCTTGAAGAAAATCTTTATGGTATATAGAGTAGCAACATGCTCCTTTAAGCATCTCAGTGCAGTCTGCAGCACTGGCCTCGAATGTTCCGACTCAAAGTCATCATTGGCCTCACACTCCCTAATCCTTGCTAAGCCCCTGTCATAATGCCTAACAAACTCGAATAATCGTTGTCTTGTTTTTAGAAAGTGTTTCAGGTAGGCATTCATACTCTCCGATCGTTGCGTGCTTTTTAAGTTGACAAAAAATTTTCCTCGCAAGTATACTTCGGCCCATTTGAATCGCTTTGCATAAACTTTCGTTATCCAATTGTTTGTCTCCAGTCCAAATGATTCAACCATTGATTTCCACTCATTTTCAAATTCTTCCAGAGTGCATCGAGCACACATGCACCTCTGAAATGCATTGACAAAATTTTCAGCATTTATATTTGTGAAGGCATTTCTTGACAAATTCCATCTACATAAGCGATGCATCGTTTGAGGAAATACTCTTTCAATTGCATCAGTCATTGTTTTATTTCCATCCGTAATAACAGATACATGCATCTTGTTTTCCATTGCATGAAGAAAGGTATTCAATACCCACACATATGTATCAATCGTCTCGTTTGAAAGTAATGCACACCCAAAGATAGTTGTAGTGTTGTGGTGTTTGACGCCGGCAAATATCACAAACGGCTTCTTATAGGCATTCGTTCGATATGTAGTATCAAACGTCACCACCTCACCAAAGCACTTGTAATCTAGTCGAGATGTCGAATCAGCCTAAAACAAGCAATTCAACGAATTGTCATCGACGATAGAATACTTGAAATAGAATTGCGGGTCCAACTCTTCCTTCGCGCTCAAGTAGGCTAATGCGCCCTCTGCATCACCGTCTCTCAACTCTTATCTGTGGTAGGATGTCCTGTCATTGTAGAGATCCTTTGTGGTAAACCCAATATTTTGATATCCTCCAGATTGTTGCAACACGAAATCCCTAATATGACTTGTACGCATATCAACATTGCGCAATGATATAGCTTGTGCTCTGTCGGGGCTCTTGACACGCCTGTGTGATTGGAGAAATGGAACACCCCATTGTGAAACCAATTCATGGTTGTGGTCCATTAC